CTGAACAGATATGAAGAGCTGTGAGCTCTGAGTGCTAAGAGCTAACGGCTGTGTTGTTTTTCTGGGGCTCTCATTGAAGATGACGTCACGGCTCCGCCTACACTGCGTTACTATAGTAACTGCCCCAGTTCCTAAACTGTAATGGAAACGCAGCATTAAAGTGATCCGGGCCTAATAAGGCCTAACCAAACCGAGCGAGGCCGAGCGAGGCCTGCAGTGGAAACGCGCCATAAGAAAGTGGATCACATCACTCCAGTTCTGAAGTCTTTACACTGGCTTCCTGTGTGTCAAAGAATAGATTTCAAAATAATGCTGCTGGTTTATAAAGCACTGAATGGTTTAGGCCCAAAATACATTTCTGATCAACTGCTAAATTAGTCTTCAGGGACTGGTCAGCTTTCTGTCCCCAGAGTCAGAACTAAACATGGTAAAGCAGCATTCAGTTATTATGCTCCAAATATCTGGAACAAACTCCCAGAAACCTGCAGGTCCGCTGCAACTCTTACTACTTTTAAATCCAGGCTGAAGACTTATCTTTTTGTCGCTGCTTTTAATTGAAACTGAGCCGTTGTCTTCATCAGTAAAGTGGAACTTCTGTGTGAACTATTCATATTTTAAACTGCACTGTAACTTTTTATTCATGTGTTTTTTCTTTTAATGTTTCTTTTATTATCTTTTCTTTTTAATGACTGTTTTTAAATGCCTTTGTCTGAATGTCTTTCATTTTTGTAAAGCACCTTGAATTGCCTTGTGTTGAAAGGTGCTATATACATAAACTTGCCTTGCCTTGCCAAAGCCAGAGTACGTTCAGTTCCTCTCACTTTAATTGAAGAGAATCTTTACTGGCCCAATATGATCTCTTTTATATTGGTTACCATTGTCGAAAAATCTCCAAAAATACAGGCATGTAAATATGTAGATGGTTAATGGTAATCATGCTAACATCATTTTGACTAGACTCCTCTCTCACAGCTGGTCCAATTCATCAGTTTGTGACAAGTACATATACACACACACACACACACACACACACACACACACACACACACACACACACACACACACCAGATTCTACCACCCACCCTCTTCTCCATCATCCCAGCTGTGAAGTGTCATCAGAGATGATTGACAGCCAAACTGGTGACAGAATGAATAGGAATGGAACTGTGAATGTGAATATGCAGATGAGGAGGGGAGACTGCTGACAGATCTGTCAGAAAATGACAGCTGTCATTCTTCAGCCTCACTACTTTAGGAAAAGACTGGCCCACTTACTTATCTGCTGGCAGTGGAAAGCTACTTAACTGCACACTGTGGCCTATGCTGGAATGGAACAATCAAAACACAGTTGGAATAGCGACTTAAATAAATCAGTTTAATTTTGTTGTACTCTTAAATTCATTCATAGACATTTAAACTGACACAGGAACAGCCTTTATGTGAGGTATTTTAATCAGAATAATACAGCAAATAAAAAGAAGATGTACAGACAATCTGGCACAGCGAAACACGTGTTGACGTTGTTCATGAAGCCACAACAGACATATCTCTGAATTCACAAATCCATGAATTATAGCCACTAGAATTCAAGTTTTGTAAATTCAGAAAAGCCAAAGGGAAAACAGTAAGAAAGACCATACAATGTTTGTCAGCTCAAATTTTTTAAGATGTGTTTTTCGTATCAATATACTGTATAAATCAATCTAAGTTATTTGCATTTTGTTGCAAAAACCTTGCCATGATATCCATAACTCCTTTTACATTTTGTGGCACTTTTAATTTTTAGAGGGCAACAACCCATTATGCACTGTTTTTACCCTGAAGTAATTTCAAGTGTTCTTCAATCATCAATATTCAACAGTGTTGTAGAATAATAATTCCAACTTGAATAGCATATACAACACTCATATATCATGAACAAGCATACATTTAATTCTAAATGTAATATAACCTTTCAAGTCATATAGAAAGTCACCCTCTATAAAGTTGTCTGGAAAAAATACATTAGGTTTAAAGACTAAATACATATTTCTGCATATTTATTGTAGGGCTGCTCAATTAATCGTGTTTTAATCGCAATTACGATTATGGCTTGCAACGATTACAAAAACAACGTAATCGAAATAAAACGATCATTTTTTTATTATTCCTTTTTTTTTTTTTAATTACATTTTTTTTCACGGTTCACGGTAATCAACTGTTAAAAACATACTGTTCAAAAAATAGTTCTCCAATAAATTGATGTTTTCAAAGTAAATAAAGGATAATCGTTTTTAATAATTAAAAATAATCTAATCTTCCGTTCCTCTCAACAATTCTTGAGAAAGCAGTCGCAAAACAGTTGTTTGATTACTTAAAAAACAATGATTTATTTGAAGATTTTCAGTCTGGCTTTAGAACACATCATAGCACAGAGATAGCTCTGGTTAAAGTCACAAATGACATTCTAATAGCCTCTGACAAGGGACTTGTCTCTATTCTTGTTTTGCTCGATCTCAGTGCTGCATTTGATACTATCGATCATGATATCTTATTGCAAAGACTAGAGCACTTAGTTGGCATACATGGAACTGCTTTAGGCTGGTTTAGGTCCTATCTATCTGAACGCTCTCAGTTTGTACGTGTCAATGATGAATCTTCCACGCAAACCAAAGTTAGCCATGGAGTGCCACAGGGCTCAGTGCTCGGACCTATTTTGTTCACATTATATATGCTTCCGTTAGGCAATATTATAAGGAATCATTCTGTAAATGTTCATTGTTATGCGGATGATACTCAACTATATTTATCAATCAAGCCTGATGAAATTAATCATCTAAATAAAATGCAAGACTGCCTCAAGGACTTAAAAACGTGGATGACCTTAAACTTTTTTATGTTAAACACGACCAAAACTGAAGTTATTGTACTTGGCCCGAAGAATCTACGAAACAAATTATCTAAAGATATACTAACTATGGATGGCATTTATTTGGCCTCCAGTGAGACTGTAAGGAATCTTGGTGTTATATTTGATCTGGATTTATCCTTTAACGCCCACATAAAATCAATTTCAAGGACCGCCTACTTCCATCTACGTAACATTGCAAAAATCAGGCATATCTTGCCTCAAAACGATGCAGAGAAACTAGTCCATGCATTTGTTACTTCAAGGCTGGATTATTGTAACTCTTTATTATCAGGGTGTACCAAGAAGTCAGTCAAGTCGCTTCAGCTAATTCAAAATGCTGCAGCTCGTGTACTAACCAGAGTTAGGAAAAGGGACCACATTACTCCTGTTCTGGCTGCCTTACACTGGCTCCCTATAGAACACAGGATATAATTTAAAATTCTTCGCCTACAAAGCCCTTAATGGGCAGGCGCCATCTTACCTTAAAGAACTCATTATACCCTACTGTCCTACTAGGGCATTGCGTTCCAAGAATGCAGGGTTGTTGGTTGTTCCTAGAGTCTCTAAAAGTACAATGGGAGCCAGAGCCTTTTCTTATCAAGCTCCACATTTGTGGAATCAGCTTCCAGTTTGTGTTCGGGCGGCAGACACCCTATCCGTTTTTAAGAGTGCGCTTAAGACCTTCCTTTTTGATAAAGCTTATAGTTAGGGCTGATTAGATTCAGCCCCTAGTTTTGCTGATATAGGCTTAGTTTGTCGGGGGACATCTTACTTCTTCCTTCTCTCTGTCTATACCTGTGTACTCTCATGTTCCGATTAACCCAGCTTCCCCAAATTTCTTTCTTTTTGGTGTCTATGTACGCTGGGATCCGGAGTCATGGATGATCCTGCGGTCCTGTGTCCTGCATCGCGAGCCCTGGATCTTGAGTCGTGGCTGTGGTCCTGGATCATAGGTCCTAGATGGATATCCTCGTGGATTCATCTTCCTATTATACACACATGCATTTCCAAACATTTGGACTACCTATGTTGCAAATGTATTATCTTTTCAATTTACACACAGCATCTATTGCACGTCTGTCCGTCCTGGGAGAGGGATCCCTCCTCTGTTGCTCTCCCTGAGGTTTCTCCCATTTTTCCCTTTAAAACTGTGGGTTTTCTCCGGAGGTTTTTCCTTGTACGATGTGAGGGTCTAAGGACAGAGGGTGTCGTATTGTCATACTGATATTTTGTACAAACTGTGAAGTCCACTGAGACAAATGTAACATTTGTGATATTGGGCTATATAAATAAACATTGATTGATTGATTAATAATCGTGATATCAATTATTGACCCAAATAATCGAAATTATGATTTTTGCCATAATCGAGCAGCCCTAATTTATTGTTATATATAATGTAGTAGAATGTGCACATTTTCTTTCTTTATACAAATATTTGTATTTAATGTAGCTTAATTTAATGTATTTGTATGTTTTTTTATTTTATTCGAAAATGGAGCTACTGGTACAAACCCACACAAAAGTCCAGCTCAATGTTGATAATACCCATGACTATATTTTAAAGAAATTGATGTTACCTTTTTCCTTTCCTCTGGCTTTACTTTGCTCGAGTTTGACCTCTGCCTGTAGAGGACTGTCATTTAATGTTCAGATATTAATGTTCAACCACCAGATGTTAGCAACAGTTCATTGCTATACTGTGTACTGCACATACATACACTTGAGCACCCTAATAACACTTGGTATTTGGGCACATTTTTGGTAAACACTACAGATCAAGAACAGAATAACAACCCACGACATTCTTATTATCACAACATTTTATTTTCCACTGTTGATAAAGTTCAGGCTCTTATTTCTTGGGAAAAATCCTACATTTGACAGACAAAGCGTGTTTCACAGATTTATTTTTAAAGAATCTACACAAGATGTGGGTAGGTATCATGAACTGTCAAACAGTAGCTACCATTACTAAAAAAAATAAAGAAAATAGCATGACTTGCAGAAACTTCAACTTCATCAATGGAGTAGTGTTGGGTCTTCTTGAAAGGTAGATTCCAGGTTTAACCTTTACTCTGTATGTTGATGTGTTTTTCTGTTTCTACAGTGAGATCAATCATCTGGAGTCAGGTCTGGTGGTGGAGCTGTGGAATAAAGGATTGATCTGGGACACAATGATCGGCACAGCACTGATACGGCTGCACACCATTCGACAGTCTGACGAGGTACAAACAACCACCCCTGGTTATTTCATCCATAAACACACAAGCTTAACACAAATAACTTAAAGTTAATAGGCACGTTCACACCGCAGTACTTTTCCCACTTTAGTTCCGATATAGTTCACACCAAAAAAATCCGGAACAAAAATTAGTTCATGAGAACGTTTTTTACCCCCTTTTGAGAGCAGGGACTGCTAGAGAGCAGGGACTTTCGTGGGAGAAAAAGGTTCCTATGTCTGATTGGCTGGGCGGATTGTAAACCACGCCCCGTAAAACTCCCAAAAAGTTTTGTGAAGCCGCCATTTTATTATCCTCGCATTAGAATCATTAGCATTAGCCCAGCGCACAAACGCAGAGAGACTAACTTATGGCAACACAAAATAAAACATGGGAGCGGTGGAGATGAGGAGCTGTCTGCGTTCTGGCGATTTACTCGGAAGGCTTCAGTAGAGCCAGTCCCCAACTCCGGGAACTTCCGGCCGGGGGCTTCGGGTGGCAGTATACGCTGTGAAGTTGTTTGCGGCCTGCCAGTAAACCCAAAGCAGAAGAAGAAGAAGTGACGTCAGCGGCTCATTTGCCTAATCCTCCCCCAGGGACTTATTCCGGTGTGAACGCGATCTGTACTTAGTTCATGAGAACTAAAGAGTTCTCATGAGAACTAAAGAGTTCTCATGAACTAAGTTCTGATGAACCTTTGTGGGGAAAGTACTGAGGTGTGAAAGCCCCTAATTCTCAATAAGTGGGACACAAGATCTTGTTCTTCCGAAGCAAATCACTTTTTTCAGAACCGTCATGTTCTTGCTTGGTGTTTCCTGTTTTATTTTGAATAGCTTTTCACCCTCAATGTTGCTGTATGTCTGTTTTTATTTCCTGTCTTTGTGTTTTCCCGCATGCTTGATTCTGTTCAACTGATGAGCTTATGTTTTTGTCTGCCCTCTCCAGTAGTGTTTTGTCTTTGTGATTTGTTCTGCTTGTAATTAAGTCCCTGTCTTCTGTGAGTCTTTAACTTGTTTGTTGTTATGTCGTTAGCTCGCTTTGTGTTGGTCCATAAAACAATTACGCAACCTACGTTTTTTTTTTTGCCATGGAGGTCAAGTGTATGTGAGGTGTATGAATACATCTTTTCATGGATCATGTACGCAGCTTTTGCAATTGATGCACCTGTTTCATGTATGTCTTTGACTATTTAATGTTAATGTCAACATTGAAGTTGTTATAATTATCCCTATCATTCATGACAGCTGTTAAGGTTTTTCTTATGATTGCTTTTCCAATGAAAAGAGGGTTCAATTGTAATGCACGTACGGCATATGTATCACATGCCCTTCCTTTCAGTACAGCTTTTTATTACACTATACCTCTTTTGATGATTCTTGAGATGGTGGATCAATGCTGAGCTTCTTAGCTTCAGAAGAACTTTGCAACACATATTTTTAAGGCTTAGACTGTGGACTAAGTACACATATAAAAGAGAACTCACCAACCCAGAGAGGTATCACTTATACTTGTTATCTGTGTTCGTTATTCTCGCGTCCAGGAGAGAAGCTTTAAAAAAGGAGACTAATTGAGTCTCTGAGAAGGTTCAAATGGTTACTTTAATTAAAAATATGGCACGGTAATGTTACAAACAGAAGAATGTTCAGACAGAAAAACAGCTGTGTATCTGGCTCTCGTAAGCGAAGAAAAGAGGGCGAGCTCCCCCTCTCCAGCTGTTATATCCCCTCTGCTGGCTCCTCCTTGTGTGCCGGTCGGCACTGCTGGGGGCCGGCCCTCCACGTATTTAATGTCCGTTGTTACCATAGACTGTATATATAAATGGACGTAGGGTCCGTGACGTCACCCATAGGATTCTGCAGAGTTGCCGTGAAGCCCTTAGTAGGCGGAGTCGGCCACTAACGGCTCGACAGTGACGCCAGAGTTCAACTCCCGCCTTCTCCAAATAAGGGCAAAGAGGCGGAGCCGAGGCGGGACCTGCTGCCACCGAGCTGGAAGTTCTAGAGCTAGCTGAAGCTACCAAGCATGCTCCCCATCTGCACGCTGCCGTCGCATTTTACGTTTCTAAGGTAAGCGGACATGAAACTATTCAGCAAAACTATAAATAATAATCTAAGTTATTGAGTTTTTAGCATAATACTTCAGGATCTTAAAACCCCTTAACGTTTGTATGCAATTGTGCTAAATTCAACACTGGAATCAAGCAAATATTAATATGTTTGCATGACATTAGTTATTTATATTTTGATATCACTTAACTATACGTTTAATACATTTAAGTCAAGCTAAGGTACATGTGATGGTAGCTAGTTAGCGCTCTTACCTGTGAGGCCTCCTCCAAACAGCATAATAACCAGACTGTATCATTAAAACTAAGTACCAGTTATAGATCCTTGACTTTAGACAAACAATTCAAAAGACAAAATGTATTTAAAGACCAATCTTTATTTGAATGTGCCTCTTAACCTGAGATATTAGTTATACAGTAATAGTATTGACAATCTAAAAAAACTGAGAAACTCAACAGTCAACTTTATGTTTCTTATTGTCTAAAGCATTTATTATTTTCATTTTCCCAATCTCATATTCAGTGTGGACGGATTGAGACAGCATGGTGTCCAGAGAGCTGCAGAGACTTCAGGGAGAAACCTCTGTGTGATGGATGTCCTGTCTGTTGGTTTGGAGAGGACTGAGTGTCTTTCCTCTTCGAGGAGGACCAGGCCTGATGGAGGAGCCCATGCTGGGCAAAGCTGATACCAACTGCACAGGCCTAGTCTGTCACTTTATTTGACTAAATGTGTTTACTTATACATTTAATAGGTTTACACCTTCTGTCCATATGTGCTTTTTATTTAAAACATTTGATTAACTTTTGGTTCACATTTCAATAAATTGTATTTGTATTTGCACTCCTTTTGTCCATTATTCTTACTGAAAATGTTAGATTACACATTCACATCTGACTGAAGATTGGCCCCATTTATTTGTGACATTGCAAAACAAGGTACATGTTGTGAAGCTCATAAAGTGAGGCAAATAGAAATAATCAGCTGATGGAGTGTAGATGTGGAAATAGCTGCATTCGATCAGCTGACTGTTTTTACAATAAAAGTAGTTTCTTAGTGAATGTCCTGTTCTGGTCTTAAAATCTCATAACATCAGCTTTTAATGTTCCTCTTGGATGTTCTTCTTGACCCTCAGAGAAGGAGAAAATGTCATGTCTTTCAGGCATGTCCTTTTCTAACAAAAATGACAGGAAACATAAAACATATTATTGCAGAACAAGTGTGTTATTTATGAAAGCGGTGTGTTTGTGTGTTTAGGGGCTGTAGATATAATTATTTTGCAATTGTAATGTTTTTTTTTATTTCAACAATGAGCTACAAAGACAATCAGATTATGAATGAACAGTATGAAGTTCATCAACATTGAAATATATGTTATTATCAAAATAATATTGAACTGTTATCAAAACGTAGTGCAACTGTAGAAGCTTGCTCTGTTGTCTCACTGAAAGAATAACTTTTACCACGTTTTTTACAGACAATATTGAGAGATAAATAGTAGCAGTTCTCACTATGTGTTAAATATCTTTGCCTTCAATACATTAAATTAGAAAGCTGACAAAGTCATATTGCTTGTTATCATCTAAATGTAACTTTTTGCATGGAAAAAACCCTCAACTTAACTGATGTGTAGGTGATCTAGTATTTAGTATTGTTTAATGGAATGTATATCAGTGTATTCAAGTCAACACTTCATTCATTTAAACCAATATCTTTCTTGATTCTTTGTACAGTATGAAAAAAGAGTCTTTGTACCTGTGCTGAAGTTCACTGCTGTGAGGAGTCCAGTTCTGTCTCTCACTCTCTGGTCCAGCCTGTCTGCATCACCTGGACACCTTAAACAAACAGATATATATGTAAAGTACCATGTGTACAAACAATATAACTGATTCTCTTCTGTTGAACATGTTGGATTGTGTATTGTCCGAGTCAGGGGCCTTTTTATTTTACTGTAACTTTGGAAGTTGTGTTACCAATGCTTACTGTTTATTTGATACCCATTTGGTAATACAATTAATAAAAACAACAAGGTTTGGGTTTGTTCTTCAGATGACTGTGACGTTAACGTGTAAGCTCAATAATGAACTCCAGCTCAACCAACCATATTTTAATATCTAAGTAATCATCTTGAAATATGACATTAATAATTGTAATATACACACATCTTATTGTGAGGTTGATTTCACATACACTACTTCGACATTAGCTTGTCTACATACTTGAGCATAGCCAATTTAAATTAACCTTAGATGCATACAGTTCTACCTACATAATAAAATATCTCTAAGTTACAAGGATGTAACCTTATTTTATCAACCTCAAACAGAAGCCGTTTGTTCAACAGTATTATCCCACTTAACACTTGTCTATTTCGTTGTAACCTTTATATATACAGTCTTTGATTTTAACTTGGAGGCTACGATTACAATCGTTAGCACCGATGTAGCTACCACTAGCTTACATGCTAACCCAAGCCTTACATTCATTACGTAGCTGATTAAAATCATTAACACATAAATAAAGCACTAGAATTTCACTTACCGCAAAACCGCATTCATGCACCGTCTGTTTTAACCGCAGAGCGAGTCACAATAGTCCGATATATAAGCATGAAGAACAAACAACCACGGCCGGCTACAAGTTGTGTTTCCTGGATGAGCTGAGCAGGCAGAGTCCCTGTAGCTAGCTTCACGGAGCAGCTAGCAGAGAGACAAGAAGCTAACAGCGGCAGGCACTTAACATAGCCGTCACTCAATGTGACCACGCCCTAATTTATGCACACACTTTAAGACCTAATATAAATAAAAGGGTCGCGTTAGAAAACAATTCACTCACAGATCCATAATCATGAAGGTGAAATCTAACTATATCGATAATAAAATGTATGGAGCCAGGGGTAGAAACATGTTTTTTTCTGCTGTAAAGTTGGGCATTTTAACATGG